CTTCAATTTGTAACTTATGAGTTTTAATGGTTCATAAAATGAAGACTCTTCATTTTATGAAACTTCTTTAGTTCTTTAATCACAATTAAAGAAGTGACTTTTGGTTATCCATAACTTGAGGACAAGTTATGGACACCATCATAGCCATTAAGATCATGAATTAAACATACATGGAGGTTACATATAATTCCTATGATCTTCTAAAAACTCATAAGAACACAAATTCATGTCAAGCAATTTCAAGAAATCATATAACTATATACAATACTTGAAAATTGATAAAAGCCATGTAAATGGGTTAACATAATCATTATCATTTTGAAAAACAGATTTTACAAGTCCAAAACAGATTGGGATAATGATCTTAATCCATTTCCAGCAACAAAACTCGAAAAAACTGCCCAGCACGCTCCTACTCGCCGAGTGCATTATTCTACTCGGCGAGTAGAATGAATTTGTTCATGGACTCGGCGAGTCCTCCCCATGGACTCGGCGAGTTCAGTCGTCAGAGTGCAGAATTTTCGATTTTTAAGCAGTTTTGCATCAAGTATACAGAAAACAATCCTAGGCTCTGATACCACTGATGGGTTTTGAGCATTCTAACACTTCCTAAGTGTACATGCAACCCTAATAACCTTGAATCTATGTTTTCTCTATATACATGCAAATTTCTTTTTCAAGGTTATTTCCTAACTAGCATGGCATGGGGATTACATAAAACATAAAAACTAGTAGAAATACATACCTTGTTGTGCTTGGATTCCTTCAAGACTTTGTGAGCCTAGCACCCCAAATGTTGTGCCTCAAATGCTTCACACAACACCACAAGACTTGGAATAACTTGAGAGAATACTACTAGCACTCAAAATCGGTTATGCCCTCTCTAGTAACACTAGGTCACGATTTTGCTAGCCATAGGGTTTCTTTTATAGTGTTGTCACAATTAGGGTTTACACATGAATGCCCTTAATTGTCATGACTCTTGATTTCCCATGACCCATGGGTTTGTAACTCCCATGGACTATCCATGGAGCTCCATATGGTTATAACCAAACCCATAAACCATGGATCATTAATCCACCATAAAAGAATTGATGATTGTCATAATCAACCCTATATATTTAATTAGTCTCACTTTGATCACCAAATTAATACTAGATTAATACTTGATCAATACTAATTAAATAATACTATTATTAATATATTAGAACTTATAATATATTAATAATCATAAGTGTCTTATTCTCTCATCTAGTCTATCCAAGTATTGCAATGCCATGCAACCCAAATGGACCATGCCGGGTCGGGTCAAGTACATACCAAATAAAGTTATGGACTTAGACACTATATCCAACAGAAGATGTGTCTCACAATTAGCTTCAACGAATTTACAAGTAATAATGCGAAAATCCTTTCTATAAATAACAGGTAATTTTTATAAAAAGATCCATAAACTATATTTATTATAGTTTATAAGTTTATTTCCATGTTTCAACCTAGACTTTGTAAAATAATACATATGATCCATAAACTATACCTATTATAGTTTATTTCCATGTTTTAACAAGTTTCACGTTTAAATACATATTAACGGTAAGAAAACATAATAAGTGAATTATATTTTTAAAACACACAATTTCTTGTGTTTTACTTGTATTCCCCCCCCCCTAAAAACATTGAAAAAGCTTAGAAAAATATGGGGGTATGAACTCACCTTATGTGTGGTAACGGTTTTGAATACGGAATAGAAACGGTGACCTTCGGGCTATATTACAGGAAAGATGTCGTGTTCCTAATGGTTTTAAAACACACAATAGTGTGTGAATAATATGATTCTTTGAAATATAAGTATCTCAAAAAAACTAAACTAATATGTATAATACTTACTTATTGTGAAGAGATTCTTAGATATTGTTTTGAATGTTCAAATGAAGTTTGAAAGTTTGAAGGTTAACTGCTTTGAAGATGGAAATGAAGAATGATACTTGAGAGAATTTGTAGAATGAGAAGTTTACTGCTTGTGTGAAATGAGAGAAATAGATCTAAATTGTGACTTATATGTGAAGGAACTTATGAGGCGGTGAATGTAAGCTTAGGAAAGTGTATCGAAGGGATTATCATGTGATGAAATCGGTTTCTTGGTCAAAAGGGAATGGAGAATTCGGTTATGGTGGTCCAATAGAAAGTGAATTCGGTCTTGGTTCTTCTAGAAAAGGCTGATGTCGGTTTCAAGTCAAAGAGAACAAAGAATTCGGTCTTAAGGTCAAAAAGAAGCAAGGAAATCGGTTTTGGGTCAAAGCCTTCCATGAATTCGGTTTCTAGTCAACAAGGAAGGAAGGATTTCGGTTTTTGCTTTCTTTCTTTAAGGGAATTCGGTTTTGGATTGATATTTGATTCCAAAAACCGATTTCTCATATATATATTATATATATTATATATATATATTATATATATATATATATATAATTTATAATTACCCTTAAATGTTAAGTTTATATATGTTTTAAACTTTATTCTTTTGTCAAACTTGAATTATACTTACCTAAACCAACTTAGTTTTCAATACAAGCTTAGTTACAAGCTTATAAACAAGTCCTTAAGGCTATAGAGGATACAATGAAACAAGGAGTGCAATTTAAATTCACGTGTATTAGGTTAGGGTTTAGGCTTTGCTAGGTCTAAAAATTTGGAGTTGTGACATCAACCATGCCTATTGACGTTTCTACTAAAGTTTTAACTCTTGTAGACCCTTTTTCCTATGATGATGATGTTATTCTTAATGAATATACTAATGATTCAATAAATTTAGATGACTTGAGTGTTAACCATCAGTCGGATGGTGCTAGTGCATTCAATTCCATGAATGAGACTGATAATAGTCAAGTCAACAACCAAAATGGCGAGGCACATGAGCCTCCTTCTAATAGGATTATGCATAGTTCATCTGGTCATATTGTTTCCGAGGAAAATAATCAATTTAGTTCTTTACCCACACTTGGTCACTTATTAGGGTCATCCAAGTCTCGTCGTGAATCTCGTATGCTAGTTAAGTTTAATGACTATGTTGTTGAAGGAAAACACAAATATGATATTGAAAATACTATTACCTATTCTTTTCAACTATTGAAGCTACTAACTATCTTGAGGCTTCTACTGATCCTTACTGGTTTAAATCCATGAATAATGAAATGAAAGCATTGTATCGTAATAATACTTAGGAATTAATCGATATTCCTAAACATAGAAAGCCCATAGGTTGTAAATGACTTTATAGAATCAAATATAAACCTAGTGGGGAAGTAGAAATGTATAAGGCTAGACTTGTGGTTAAGGGTTACAATCAAAGATAAGGGACTGGTTATCAAGAAACCTTATCTCCTGTTGCAAAAATTGCAACTGTTCGTATAGTAATTTCATTATATGTTAATAAATCTTGGCCTTTATATCAATTGGATATTAACAATGTTTTTATTTATGGTGATTTGTATGAGGAATTTTATATGTCTCAACCTCCGAGATATCGCACTAAAGGCGATACTAAAGTTTGTAAACTTGTCAAATCTTTATATGGTTTAAAACATGCTCCTAGAAAGTGGAATGAAAAATTGTGTTATGCACTTTTTACTAACAAAGTCTTTGGTTAGTTCTCAACATGAATTTCTTGTAAATAAAATTAGGTTAGTTGATCATTTCAGAAGTGGGTAAGTTCTAACCGTGTTAAGTTTGCAGAGGGGTGTTAAAAGTATTAAAGATTTGTACAAACTTAACATTCCTCTATTTTGCAGGGGTGTGTTTGTAAATTTGTGTAAGTTTTTATTGTTATAGTTTTGTTGTTTGGGTGTTATTTGTAAAAGTGTAGATATTGGTGGACTGCGACTTGCTTTGTCACAAAGTTATCCGGGTTGATGCGCGGATCTTCCTGCTCCATGGGTCGGGTTTTTACCCATGTACTTAATGTGGAAGAGTGGAGTTTTTGGCTCATTTAGTCATTTTCACTCTCTCATATCTCACCTAGTTGCTCTCTGAGATGCTCTCGTGTTATTCCTCTTAGACGTAGTAGATAACATAGTCTATTTCTTTAATGCTGTTCTTTTATTAAATCCAGATTATAATATAGGTTGAGAGTAGATTTAGGGTTTATGTAGTGAATTTTCAATTGTAAGTTTGTGTAAGCAATTTGGTTATTGTGCTTAATAAAAGAATTGATTATGTTGGGAATATGCGTTTAAACTTCTTTACACAACATTAAATATCAAATTGATAAAACATATACAATCTAATGTTTGGGTAGATCAATTTGGTTCAGTTGGTCAAAGTTAATTGGATTTGATTCACTCTAATATGCATGTTTGTTTTCTCTTGCGTTAGTCTTCATCTTAAACACATACTTGACGAAAATCGGTATTACCATGGGAACGACAAACTCAAAATATGATGTATATGGACATAATTGAACGACATAATAAATGACGAACAAAAGAAAGGAGACCAATAATCACATTGCAATAAATTGCAATAATCACACAAATGCTAAGAGATATAATCTAGTTAACCCTTAAATAGATGATATATATAACCTTGCGACTTCGCTGCGATAAACATTTATGTATGCATGGTTGAAAAAAAAAAAATCTTGTTGTACATACTTAGTGATTAGTATTTGATGGTGACTTTACCTTAACATCGCGGAAAATAAAATGAACCCCCGAATGTGTAGGGATGGTTCTACGTCTAAAAATGTTACCACAAGTTCCATACATATGAGATTATGATGTTACGATCTAAATAAGTTTTAAACAAATATAGTTCAATACAAATTACATAAATATATACTTAACTCATATCTCAATCTGATATTATTCGTTTACAAAAAAATTGATAACAAATTTCTTTTTCATAGAATTTTGAGAACATTACAATGTATACTTGGTTAGAAACTACAATTATTTCAGACACCAAAAATAATGGTTATGACACATTACGCTATATAACAACGCTAGATGGTCTCCACAAACCATCAAGGCATCAACCATCACCTCCCCTCTTTCTCTTTCACACACACAACACACAACCACCCAAAAACACACAGATTTGTATGTATATGTAGATTGTAGATTGTAGCCTGTAGCCTCCAATGGAAGTGTGTCGGGGTTGTTCCCTAGAAAGCTTTTCCCTACAAGCACCAGTAGTACCCATTTGATTTCTTTTCAGTTTTCAGAGGCCCAAAAGGTTAAAAAAGTAAATAGCTTTCAGATTCATCTTCCCTTTGCTTGTCACTTTCTCGGTTAAAATATTTTTTTATCTTCCACAGTGTACCCGCACGCCCCTCATCCTTTTTCTCGCCTTTCCTTGATGCCCTTTACTCTTTTCTTTTCTAAAAGCCAGATACTTGCTCCAAAGTAAGTCTTTTTATTCTTTTTTTGCCTTCTTTGTTGCTGACAAAATCTTTATCCTGTTGATGCTCCTTCCATATAGTTGCAATTGTTTAAGAAATCTGACATCTTCAATTAGTTTAGATTTGAATCTTTCAAATCTTGTGAATTTGGATTTCAAACTTGTTAGGTTTTGACAGATTCAAAGGGGTTTCTTCATTCGGGTCGTCTGTCGTTTCGTTGATTGGTTGTTCTAATCTTTTTGTTCAAAATTGAAGGCTTTTGAAGATCGAAAAAGTTAGACTTTGACTGCGATGATGAAGACTTTGACTTTAGTTTGTGCGATGTGTTCCAGAATTTGTTGATTCCTTTTGAGGTGTGTGGTGGGGCCTTGTTTTGGATTGGTTGCAACCATTTCCCCTTTTTTGGCTGTTGAATATGAGGAGATATTGACTTCACCAAACTCATCGGGGAATTTCTCGTAAATTGAGGTATTTTTCTTCTTTAATCTGATTTGGGTACTTTAAGAGCTAGTTGAATCTATGCTTCTCTGAATTGGGTAGTCAAAATTTACTTCTGTGATGACCTAATTTGACTCAAAAATCGTTTCTTGAGATCCTTTAGTTCCGAAAAGTACATCTGGGTTGTTTTTCTTCTTTAATCTGATTTGGGTATTTTTTACAGATTAGTCGAATCTATGCTTCTCTGAACTGGATTATTGATATTTGGTGACATGAAGACCCAATTTGATTAAAAAAATCGTTTCTTGAAGATCTATTAGTTTCCAAAGAAATTGGTATGAGGGATATGGAGGAAAACGGGGCAGAAGATTGGAAGGAGCTTGTGAAGAAGATGCTACCTCCTGGAGCTGCAGTACCTGAAGAAAGTGATGAACTTGATTACTCAATTGCTATGGAATACATGGGTCCTAATGTTCCTTATCAGGTTCCAAGGGTTGAACCATTAGAAGTAAATTCCCGTTCTATCCCTACAGCATCTGTAGCCGAATCATTTTCAGATTCAAGAAGATCCATCACTCGTGAAGCCCCCCCTGTAATCGAGCCTATACCTTTGCCAGTTTCTTATATTGCACATGTGACAGATTCCCCAAATCAAAGTCCAAGATTATCAAGGAGTTCTGAATCTGTAGTTTCCGTTTTGCATAATGGTGATTCATTTTCAGCTTCCCCTTCAGGGTCTCCTAGTTCTTCTCAAAACCTACAAATTGATGCTAATGGAAACGAAGTGAGACGAGGTCGAGCTCCTGTAGTCACTTTCAACACAATCGATAGATCCGAGAGGAAAGACGTGGGGCCCGGATACCCCGAATACGTTGCAGTTTCTAAAGAAAAGAAGAAGAAAAAGACAACAAAAAGACGAGTTTGTTACCGATGTGGGAAAGGGAAGTGGGAAACGAAAGAATCTTGTTTGGTTTGTGATGCAAAATATTGTAGTAATTGTGTTCTTAGAGCAATGGGATCGATGCCCGAGGGTAGAAAGTGTGTTACTTGTATTGGTGAAGCGATTGATGAGTCAAAACGTCTTACTTTAGGGAAGAATTCGAGGTTGTTATCTCGGTTGCTTAGTCCTTTGGAAGTGAAACAGATTATGAAAGCAGAAAAAGAATGTTCTGCTAATCAGCTAAGACCCGAGCAATTAATTGTTAATGGGTATCCACTTAAACCTGAAGAAATGGCTGAACTTTTGGGATGCCCATTGCCTCCACGAAAGTTAAAACCTGGAATGTATTGGTATGACAAAGAATCCGGTCTTTGGGGAAAGGTAAGTAAAACCATGTAGTGAGTTTTCTGTATGTATATGTTTGGTTTTAAAGATTGTAATGTTTTTGTTTTTAATGTTTCAGGAGGGAGATAAACCCGATAGAGTTGTGAGTTCAAACTTGAATTTCACTGGGAAACTTAGTCCGACTGCAAGCAATGGAAACACAGAAGTTTACATGAATGGAAGAGAAATTACAAAACTTGAGCTCAAAGTGCTGAAGGTAGGTTAGATAGTATTTTTATTACAGATGTTTGGTGAGTGATATGGAAATTTATTTGACATCTGTTGTATTGATTTGTTTCAGATGGCAAGTGTGCAATGTCCTCGAGACACGCATTTCTGGGTTTATGATGATGGGCGTTATGAGGAAGAAGGTCAGAATAATATCAAGGGAAATATTTGGGAAAAGGTATGTATTGTATTATTCTCTATTATCTATTATTATTATGTAATGTATGATATTTTCATATGTTGTAAAAAAAGTATGGTGGATAAAATGGTTTTCTGTTATTTTGTTGGGAAAAAGGCTTCAACACGGTTTCTTTGTACGTTGTTCTCGTTGCCTGTGCCACAAGGTCAGCCACAAAGAGAGAGGGATGAAGCCAGCAATTACACAACGGTTCCAAATTACTTTGAGCCCAAAAAGATTCAAAAGCTTTTATTACTTGGACTCGAGGGTTCTGGAACAAGCACCATCTTTAAGCAGGTATGCCCCTGTTTCATTTCCATTTTCATTTTCATTTCAAAAAAGTTAATAAAAGAATGTATCACCTTTATAAAGATCATTTCCCTTGTGGTTACTGTGGATGCAGGCAAAATTCTTATATGGGAACAGATTTAGTGATGAAGAGCTGCAAAATATCAAGCTGATGATCCAGAGCAACATGTATAGATACCTGAGCATTCTACTTGATGGACGTGAGCGCTTTGAGGAAGAAGCAATCATGATGAAGAAAAACTCCCTCTCCATAGAATCACATGATCAGTCCACCGAAACAGGTAGTTTGACTTTTTTTTTTTTTTTTTTACCTTTTGAACTCAAAAATCAACATAAACTTAAATTGAATGGTTTGATTTCAATTCAGGTAATGAGGAAGAAGCAAGCCACTGTATCTACTCTCTTAACCCAAGATTGAAACATTTTTCGGATTGGCTCCTTGACATCATTGCGACTGGAGATTTGGATGCATTTTTCCCTGCAGCAACACGCGAGTATGCCCCACTAGTCGAAGAGGTCTGGAAGGATCCAGCCATCCAGGAAACATACAAGAGGAGAAATGAACTACACTTCCTTCCTGATGTTGCAGACTACTTCTTAAGTCGGGTGGGTATTCATTCATTCATTTCATCATTTCTCAAAATAAACTTATTAAGGGGATTTTTGATAGTTGTTGATTAAGTTAGATCTCTGACTGAGTTAGACACAACCCTGAATGAAACAGTCTGGATCTGACCGAGTCACAACCAGTAATGATAATAATAATAATAATAATAATAATTTTGAGTGGGTTTCAGGCGGTTGAGGTATCTAGCAACGAATATGAACCTTCAGAGCATGACATACTGTATGCTGAAGGTGTGACTCAAGGAAATGGCTTGGCTTTTATAGAATTCTCCCTTGATGATCGTAGCCCCATGTCGGAGACATATACCGATAATCTTGATGCCCAATCCCAACCTCTTACCAGGTAATTTTATATATTTTGTATATCAGCATTTTTTCAAAGTGATTAATGCGAGTGATTAATCTTTTATATATGTGTTGTTACTTGTTAGATATCAACTGATCAGAGTAAATGCTAAGGGAATGAACGAAGGGTGTCGATGGGTGGAAATGTTTGAGGATGTGCGTGTAGTCGTGTTTTGTGTTGCCCTAAGCGACTATGATCAAATGTGGCTGTCACCCGACAACACAGGAAGCGGGTCCCTACTTCAAAACAAAATGGTTCAAAGCAAGGAACTTTTTGAGGCGATGGTGAAACACCCTTGTTTTAAAGACACTCCTTTTGTCTTGATTCTAAATAAATACGATCTTTTTGAGGAGAAGCTTAAGCATACCCCGTTAAGTGCGTGTGAGTGGTTCACTGATTTCAGCCCGGTTCGACCCTACACCAACAATCAAAACCTGGCCCATCAAGCTTACTATTATGTGGCGATGAGATTTAAGGATTTGTATGCATCTTTGACTACAAGAAAGCTGTTTGTTTGGCAAGCGCGGGCCCGAGACAGGGTGACGGTTGATGAGGCGTTTAAGTACATACGGGAGATTGTGAAATGGGATGATGAGAAGGAAGAGACGTATTATGGTGGGGCCGAGGACTCGTTTTATAGTACTACTGATGTCAGCTCACCACCTTTTGTCAGGCAAGAGTAGAAAGAAGAGTGGAAATTGAAGTATGTTTTGTTTTTAATTTATATGTTTGTTGTTTGTTGTTTGTAGATAAGAATATGGTTGGTGAATAATAAGAAGTTGTTTTATTTGGATTTTTACAAGTTAGCAGTTGGGAGGGACTTAAGTAAGTTATATGGTTGGGAAACCACCCCGTCCTGTCATGTTTTGTTTTTGTCCTGTAAGTTGATATGCGAAGGGTTGTTAAGATCCGATTTTCAAATGTAAACCAAGTCCATAAGTATTTTATTTTTTTCATGTTTCTTAGTTCTTAATGCTGTTTTATATATCATGTTTGGCAAGAAAAGAAGGCACCATAGGAGAGGTGGATTTGGAGTGTCAAAATGGATCTAGAGTAGAGGTGCACAAATACCGGTTTTCCATAAACCAGTTTTGGCAATAATTGGTCCTTTTGTTGTTGTTTTTTTAAGTGAAATTGCGTTAAAATTCGGGTTTGCGGTTGGCTTTATAAGAAAACTGGCTTCAGTTTTTTATAAAAACTTTTTCCTAACCGGTGATTCTGTTTTAAATTAACCTGTTCTCAAAAAGCCAACTTTTTTTTTTTTATGGTTTAAAAAACACAACTCTTGATGTGCACCTCTAGTGTAAATTAGAGGTGAACATTGATTGGGGTAGGCGAATGGTAAAAGATGAGTCTGAAGTAAACCCATGTTTGTTGTCTCCTCCTCTAGTCCCACTAAATCATTACCTCCTGAACTACATATGCTTGTCTTTAGTTTTCAAGGTTGGGTGGCTTGGCTTGGTCAAATAAAGGACTCGGGTTCAAGTCAGCAGTGCGCACGTGGGACTGGATTTCGGTTATAATTGGTTTGTTTTTTCGGTTATTTGAAAGTGAAATTAAGTTAAAAACCAGTTTTTTCCAATTAAAAACTGGTTCGGTTCAGCTTTTTAGAAAAAATCAGTGAAAACCGATTTCAGCTTTTTATAAAAACTTATATCAAACCAGCAGTTCAGTTTTAGTTGAACCGGTTATATGGGTTATTAGGTTGGTTAAGAAAAAACAATTTTACTTTGTGCACATCTAGGCCCTTAAGGCTTGGGGTGTTGGTTGCTAATAATATTCAACATTTGGGGCTTGGCTTGGGGCATCATCAAATAAATATGTGGAGTGGACTATTAGGCCTATTAGGCCATTCACAGTACATACTACTAACTATTAACGTGTTGAGTGTCACCTCATCACCACAGACAACCACTAAAGGTTGGTATACCCATCACTATATCTCTCTTATTTTTAGTTATATATATATATATATATATATATATATATATATATATATATATATATATATATATATTACTTAAAATGGAGAGAGAGAAAAAGAAAGAAAATAATTGGTTGAGGTGGTTCCTGCTTCCCACCACAAATGACCACGAAAACTTCAAAAGTTCAACCACTAGCCACCATTAAACACTAGGGGTGGTGCTCACGTGGGCAGCTAGACCACGAGCATCTTCGTTGCATGTATTCTGGTAGGTCTTAGAGAACTTGTGGATCCGGTTTGGTCCCCTTCTTTTTATATACATATACAATTATTAATATATTTAAGGCTTGACTTGATAAAAGATAAAAAGAAAATGAGAAAAAACGGCACAACAATAAAACATAAAAGTAATAATAATCTATCGGGCCCTTGACCAGTCAGATCCAAACAAAATAGTCTAGGCAGTAGGTGTCTTTTCCCAAAACTTATTATTATTAGGGAAAATGACTTATTAAGATAACTAATTATTTCAGTTGTCCATGTATAGGTAATGTTCTTTTTTTTGTACACATTAAGGTAACTAACTTGTTTTATTTGTTCACATTTAGGTAATATGACCGGATATCACCTGTTTTTGCTTATGTGGCATCCACCTAGCATATGACTTGAATACGTTGCACCTACGTGACATGGTGCATATATGGGAAAATGACTTATTAAGGTAACTAACTATTTCTGTTGTCCATATATAGGTAATGTTCTTTTTTTTGTACACATTAAGGTAACTAACTTGTTTTGTTTGTTCACATTTAGGTAATATGACCGGCTATCACCTGTTTTTGCTTATGTGGCATCCACCTGGCATATGACTTGAATACGTTGCACCTACATGGCATCCACCTGGCATATGACTTGTTTTGTTTCTTCTTCCTCATCTTATTCTTCAAAACGACAAGATGAATTTCAAGCTGATCATCCATGTGATTGCGGCTTACCATCTCGTGTGAAGATTTCAAGAACTCCTGACAACCCTGGAAGAAAATTTAGAGTTTGTCAAAACTCGATGGTAAATCAATATTGTTGAATATGTTGCAGGAGTTCTTGAAATCTTCACACGAGATGGTAAACCGCAATCACATGGATGATCAGCTTGAAATTCATCTTGTCGTTTTGAAGAATAAGATGAGGAAAAAGAAGCCATCGTCGATCGATCTAGGGTTTAGAATTAGGGGTGGAATCGTATGACACAGTTATAGTGTAATCAATGAAGACAATATATGCATCATGCCACGTAGGTGCAACGTATTCAAGTCATATGTCAGGTGGATGCCACATAAGCAAAAACAGGTGATAACCGGTCATATTACCTAAATGTGAACAAACAAAACAAGTTAGTTACCTTAATGTGTAAAAAAAAAAAACATTACCTATATATGGACAACTGAAATAGTTAGTTACCTTAATAAGTCATTTTCCCTTATTATTATGGTGCTATTAATAAACTACATATCAAACCCAACACTGCACTTTTTATGCAAATTACAAATGAAACACAACACATACTTTTAACCAACTTTTATTTTATATTATAAATTTATAATCTCAAAAAATAATCGGGTTATCAAATAAGATACCCAAGATTACGTCATAAGAATCTATTTGGATCCTTGATGAGTTCAAATTCAAGCGTCACGATTGTTGAAGGATATTTGTTGGTTTACTCATTAATATTCACCATTCACATGAGAAGAATCATATTGTACAACTAGAAATCTCTAAATATTGTATGTTCACCGTAGACAATGATCATTCACATAAGAATTAAATATGATCATCGTTAATATTCATCATTCATATAAAAATGGTCATAGTTATAATGATAAATTATTTGATATTGCAAGTTTAGAGTAGATGGATGGATCAAATAAATGGATCGATTGGATAGATTGAATAGATTCACCATTCAATAGGGTTGTTATGTATAATTTGGTAAACTGAATTCAAAGAAAAACCGTTACAGATGTGCAAAGACATTTCTCTCATCATCATATAAATCAACTAAAGAATATCTTTAGACATCACTAATCTCTAAAAAACATTCAACTCAAGGTAACACAAAGTCTTATGTTATCACATATAGATGATGGAATGCTCCTTTAACTAACTCAAGAAGCCAAGGACCTTCAGAGTTCACCCTTTTAACATCACGGGTTCTGTGGATCAAAATACAATACAACAAAAATAAGCAATAGTAATAGTAGCATGAGAGGATAGAAGGTGAAATCTATATATAACAATCAGCTAAAAACGTCTAAACAGAATTTGGAGGACCTTAAAGAAGCTTCCAATTGTAATCCAAGCCGTTTTTCCCAATTATACAACCACCTTGATAGGGACCATGTTCAGAATCTTCAAAATGAAAGTGTATGTAAATGCATCCTCTTGGAGTTTCTCAAACCTAAATTAAACACAAACAGGAAGCAGATGGTTAAGATTTGAACCAAAAATATGTTTTTGGTACATTTTTAACAAAAGGAAAGAATATTAAATCATTATTACCTTCCTGACTTGGAGAAGTGTCCTGCTCCCATCTCACATTTAAACAACAAAACATTCTCATCTGTTTTCATCTCTCTCAACTTGGCAACAAACTTAGCAGGTTCTGAATAAAGTACACGTGGATCTGCCAAAACATGTCATACATACATACCTCCAGTTAAACAATAGATATTGGCACAAATTACCAAATAATAATAAAAAATAAAAAAAAGTAAACACTACAATATGTCACTGTTGTCATCTTCTTGAAAAGACAGCCTACCATTTAATCCAGCAGTAACAAGTATGGCTGGATAATTCTGAGCTTTTACCTGTTCAAAATAGAGACCCATCAGTAATTAACTTCAACATTTCATAATCTGTCAGATGGATTTAAACTGAAACAAGACACATTGACACTCACATTGTCAACTGGCGAATATGATTTCATGTAAAAGTAGAACTCTTCTTTCCGAGGATCACCCCATTCCTGCAATAAAACAAGTCATTCACATTTTGAAAGAAACATATTAATATTATCATAGCATCCTACTTTGAGTTTCCAAAGAAAAAAAAAAGATTATATATAAATCACCTCCCATTCTGCAGTTGTAAGAGGAATAGTTGGATCAAGCATTGTAGTCACAACATCTACAAATGGTACTCCAGCTACAGCAGCCTTAAATAAATCAGGCCTCATGTTTACAACAGCACCAATAAGCAACCCCCCTGCACTTCTTCCATTAATGCACAGTTTTTCTTTCGTACAATATTTCTTTTGTATCAGATACTCTGCACAATCGATAAAATCTGTGAATGTATTCTTCTTATGAAGATATTTCCCATTTTCATACCACTTCCTCCCCATTTCTCCACCCCCACGAATGTGAGCAATTGCATATATAAAACCACGATCCAATAAAGACAATCTTGATGCTTTGAAACTAGGATCCACACATATCTGCATAACAAGACAAATGGAAATTGCATCAGTGACAATGTAGTAATGTACAAGTTTCAATTTATTTCTTGCACACAAATCTATTACCTCATAGGATCCATATCCATACAGCAACATTGGATCCGACCCATCAAGCTTCACCAGATCCTTTCGGTAGACGATTGATATAGGAACATGAGTGCCATCTTGAGCAACTGCCCACTCCCTTTTGGTTACATAGTTTGAGATATCAAAACCACCCAATACCTGATTCCACCAAAAAAGAAACTCATTAGACCTAACGAGTAGATTTTTTTTTTTTTTGACTAAAATCAATCATCATGTATGTAACTTACTGTTTCAATTTTCTTCAGAACTGAAACTCCTGTATTCATGTCATAATCATATGTAGAAGGGGGTGTTCTGAGAGAGCTATAATCAAATCTCAATATACTTGAAGAAAATTGTGACTCTGCTGGTTCCACTGAATAAACAGGGTCAATAAATTCAACAGATTGGCCACCTTGGAGACTTTGAAGTGGTTCACCAATAGGTGGAAGAGGGTAAAAAGTTACCCGAGGTAAACCCTTTTCACGCTCATAAACAACAAGGTGGTCACTAAAAGTTCTTACATCCTGTATTTTTACAGTTTCCCTATGAGGAAGAAGAATGGTAGTTGCATTTACATTGTCCAATGGACATGCTAGTAGTTCTGAATTGAAAGCCTCATCACTCCTCCTTTTGATGAAAAAATGATTGCCACGATGGCTGACTGATGTATCAATGCCCTCTGTGCGAGGTGTCAAAACTGTAAGATTGTTCTCAGGCTTTGAGATATCAAAATAGAAGATAGACCTTGTAGTTTTACTCTCTGATCCAACAAATAGGTACTTTTTGCTCTCGGAAGCTTCAAGATCTAGAGAAAACATATCATCTTTTTCATCATAAAGACATGAATCTGTTGATTGATTTGTACCCAACTTATGAAACCACACCTTGTCTGGCCTGAGAATCGCATCCATGGTGATGTATAACAAAGCCTCATCACCTGCCCATTCAAGATAACTTGTTACACCAACCAAGGGGTCACCAACAAGTGTGCAAGTCTCAGCATCCATGACATAAATGGTATAGATCTCATCTCCTTTAGTGTCTTCTGCGTATGCTACCAATTTGTGATTTGGACTGACTTTAAAAGCACCAATGCTGTAATATGCATGCTCTTTAGCCTTAACATTTTCATCCAAAATCACATGCTCAGGAGGAGCTTCTGGTCCTGTTGCCATGCAATCATGAACAGATGGTACATCCCCATTGTTTTCTACAAGGCGCCGACAATGCTGTACGTACTCCTTGCCCTCCAAAGTCCGCTCGTAATAGTAGTAAGGGCCTTTTCGAACAGGTGCAGATATATCATCTTCTTTAATCCGGCTTCTTAACTCAGCATAAATCCGATCTTCCAAATGTTTGGTTCCTGATATTTAAAATACAAGAACTCTTTCAATTACTAAGAAAAAAGTTCCATATCAGAGAGTACAAGTAGCAAAAAACCAATCTACATCAACTTCAGATTGAGAGAGTACAAGTAGAAGGGAGTTGGTTACCTGACATGATGAAATCAGTATAAGCATTTTCTTGTTGAAGGTGGGAAAGGATTTCAGGATTGGAACGAGAATCGTCACGGAGCCAGTAGTAATTATCAACCCTAACGTCTCCAAACATTTCCATTTCGTGCTTCACCTTCTTAGCTACAGGAGGCTGCAGATTTTTCGTATCGGTAGTAGCCATGGCTGATGTTTGGGAGGAACAGGTGGTGCTTCTTGTTGTTGTGTAGAATCGTCGAGACAGTCGAGGGAAACCGGAAGCAGAAGCAGAAGAGATCGGCCGTAATCCGAGTTTAATTTGGGCCAACGGGAATAACGAGACCATTTTTCGGCCTTTCCAGCCTTTTTATCTTCACAGGCACGCAAATGTACAACTCTCTATTTGTACCCTTTTTTTTTATCATAGTAGAATGCATTTATATTTAAAATTCATACAATAATTTTGTTTTAAATAATAAATAATAATATATGTCCATCTATATCTTTTATAAATCTACCCTTACTAATAAAACAATAGCTCCAATATGACAAATGTCATTTCCATAGCCTGACAACTCATCAAATGCTACATGTCATCTCTTCAATCCCTCTAAATTTACAAAGTTTTGCCCTTAAACTTTTCTAACATGTATGTGAATTATCGGTTTTCCTTCAATCCCATCTATCTTGCACCCTAAACCTTGTTAATTAGCAAGAATTCAGGAATTCCTTAATTGTCGATTGTAGAAATTCCAAAAAATCAGCAAAATAGTTTGAATTCGATTCCATTAGCAAGAAATCAAGAATTCGTGATCAAATTCAAATTTAAATTTCGATGGTTCATATATACCACCATCGTTCTCGATTTTATTCTGTTCTCATAACAAAGATTGATAAAGAGGCTCGAAGAAGTACACAATGTTAGTAATTAACACTCAATCTAGTCATTTTATAAAAAGAATCTTTCAAAGAGCAATTTCATAAACAAATGCATTTAGTCATTTTAGTGATGAACCCATAATTCTTATATAAACTAAACAAATTTAAGCTCCAAACCCCTTCCATGGCCCATGGCATTACAAACCGGCTACAATTTATCTGTATTTGTTATATATAAATAAAGTTTTTAATTGTAGCACACACAACTCATACTATTTTAATGAAATACTAATTGTATACAGTATTAATTTGGAACTTCAATATAACATGGGAAATATACATACAAAAATGGTCTTTGTGTGCTTGTGTATGTTCAAAACGATACAAAATGAAGTAAATGACCAAAATGCCCCTGATAACTGATACTAATAACACCAGGGAAAATAAATAGCAGGTCTTCCAACCTATACGTGTGTTGAACAACTGAAAGAAATTGCAAAATTACATCCCAGATTCTTCTAGCAGCTTAAGAATGTTATGTTCAGGTGCACTGATCGATGGCAATATCACACGGTTGGTTCTTCTTTGAGATTTTGCTGCAGGTGGCTGCGGTTCTGGTGGTGGTATGAGTACGGTTGGGGGTGGGGGTGGGAGTGTGGGCCCCACTCCTTCCTGCGCTATGGACAAGTCTGTCCTCCTCTGCACCCCTGCACTTACACGCTCTTTCCATATTCTTCCGTCCTTTTTTGTCAAAACCCAAAAACAAAACAACTCATGAATAATCATTGTAGTCGCATGAACACCATAAATGCGTACTTATCAACCAAATGCCTCCATATAGCTAAAATAAGGTTTCTATTACACCATTGTATTTTCATTTTTTTTTCTTATTAGGACACTGTAATTTGAAAATGTACCCAATTATAGCAATGAGAATTGCTTTGTATTTAGATGATATTGCTATAATTGGGTAAAGTTTCCAATGTATAATACTGTGATAGGAAGAAATTAAAGTAGGATGCCATAATAAACAAATAAAAAAAGTTTGTTGCTGCTTTCTTGCATTTAACCCTATTATGTAACATGAAAGCCCAATCTACAATATAACTCCCCGTTATTCCCATTATTGCTGCATGTTCAAAACACAAAGCCTAGAGGTTTATGATGTGGAAGAAAGATACACCAAAACTACTAAATGCAAAAATTGATTATTTAGTGAAATTACAAAAACCAAAGTTACATATTTACCCATTATTAATCACTATAAAATACTAATAGCACAAATTTTGGTCAAAAGAGTTTTTGTACTCTTTTAATATTTGAGGCCTAGTCCACAAATCTAATTAACAACCAAACAGTTTCCTTAACTATGTGCATGATACAATGTAACAAATGGAGAATATTTGATGTTGACACTATCCATGAAATTTTAGAGCTTAATAACATGACAAAGTAACCTGATTTTAACACTTACATTGAGAATTGAAGGTTCGGGTAATGGGCAGTGAACAGGTTGATCATGGTCAAGAGGCTCGGTGGGGTGGTCAACGGGCTTAAACTCAATGACAACCTCGATACCATGATTAGTTGTAGCCGTCGCTCCAACAACTGTGGAGGATTCTGCTACTTCCGTGTCTGGGGGTAACACTTCCCTCTCATCCTGAAAAGAAATTAAGCAGCCCAAGAAATAAAAATAGTTTACGTCGACATAATTTATCAAGAAAGGAGCATAATCACAATCACTTTGCAATGAAATCAAGAAGCACCATGAAAAAACATCAACGCAAATCACTCGAAATGTATACTTAGTTATAACAAATTCGCAAGCATTTACACTTTAGGATTCAGCCAAAATCACAATAAGTCATTGTTCTAGGAAATCATACTGTTTCACAACCTAATTACAGAAATCCTATCTTATCAAAATGAAAGCCAACAGATCTGGCAATAACAAGAAGCCATGATCGATTACTTAAGAAGCACCAATACGACAGTCTGAAATTAAAAGCACCAAAAACTCCCATTAATGAAAATCCAAGAATCACAGACCAGGGAACAAGCAAGGGAAACAATCAATCGATTAAAAACCAAAAGAGGTGAAGGAATCAAACAGTGATGGATGTCATTTGCTTACAAGTGTAGTCTGGGAACGACGATGACCGTTTCTGCTTACAGAAAACCTCGAAAAAAGGCTCACCATGTTGCTTAGCTTCTTTTGGTTTAAATTACAAACAAAGAGCTCCAAATCTGATCTGGGATTTTGTCAAGTGTCTCTCAGGGCCAAAGATTATAAAAGTCATAAAGGGTTATGGGTGGATAGATGGATAGTGACCGAAATGGTAGCTTAGCTTTGGATTCTGTTCTCCGATCACAGAAAAATAACGCAATCTATGACCAACATCATCCACATCATCTGAGTGTTTATTTTAACTTTTAAAATTACTTTTACTTGTATCGAAAAAATCAAAAACATGTTTGTTTAAGTGAAAAGGACTTTTAGAAATGACTTTTCCAATAGAGTAAATTGAGTCTTTTTGAAAAGTCACGATTATGTGATTTTTCCCAACTTTTCAACGGTAAAAATATTAAATTACCAATATACCCCTATCTATCTTAATTAATTCTTCATTCACAGCATATGATTCCCTACTCTCTCCTAAAAGTTAACCCAAACACTTTAACTTTTAACTTTTTCCCTTCAAAAGTTAATCCAAACACATTTTAAAAAACAACTTTTATAAAAAGTTCTTTTACAAAAAGTCATTTTACAAAAAGGATTTTTGCCCCACAAAAGCTAAGCCAAACACCCTCTTAAACAAATGATTTTTTTAGTAAATTAGATGTCTGGTCCTAATGTTTATGTTTCATTGCATCTTTCATCCAATTATGAAAAACATTGCAAGCTTAGTCCTTGACACTTGACACGGGTCTCCTTCTTCCCCTCACCTCCCTCACATGCAAGGCACATGAGGGCCTTTTTGTAACACCATGTTCGGGATTATTATGTGATTCAGGGCCGGAAGTCGACTGTGTAAAGGTTTTGGGCTTTAAGTAGGCGATGTTTAAACCTTTTGGAAGGAACTAATGGTGGTTATGAGATCTTTTTTTTTTCTAGCTAATATAAAGGGTTTCCATAAAATTTTAATTGTCATCGTACAATGAGTGAGATGGCAAACGGGCAACAAGTTGTGCCGTTAAGCCTTTTTGAATGGTAAAGCTAATTCTTTTAAAGACTACATCCGAATATCTAGGGGATATAACATTATTATGCATGATTCGTTGTACTCTTTGAAGAAGCTCTACCGCATCCGGTGCGAGGAAACCAAACGTATCAAATGCAAATGGTATGAACACGTGTTGATTTTCCATGCACGATTTCTCATGTTTGGTGACTTTGCCTGTAGCTGCTTTTAAAGCAGCATGTCCCGCCGTGAAACCCCCAGCCCTCAGGCCCACGAGAGGGGATACCCCTGTAAGATCCACACATGTGTGTTTCCCTCCGACCCATCCAAAAATCAAAATGTCAGTCGGTCTGAGGGTTGACCTTCCTTCTGTCGGGTCAATCAAGAAATTAACAGGTGCCTCTTTCTTAGCGGAAACCCCGGCACGCTTAAATATGTCAAACAAAACATCCATAACCATATCATGCCTGTATTTGAACCCCGGGAGTTCTTTATAGTGAACTGCATGCTCTCCAAAAGAGTCCAAACATGCCTTGCGACACACAGGACATATCTCGTCAGCTGGGAATATGGGAATCATGAGTCGATATTTGAGAATAGTACGATGGGGAAAATCATAGGTCGGGTTCTTGCATTAAATATGGATTTTTGTTCTAGAAGTTTTTAGTCCAAGATATTTAGATAATATTGTAGAACTCTTCAATACCTTTCCGTGGATATAAAGATCGTCGAAAACGGAGTTGGAATAAAGAAGTTATGCTCGTTTGAAGTTAGAGCGGTTTTGGGGTTGAGTCGCGTACGTTGGGCGTACTCAAAGTGTACGTTACGTTGGGCGTACTAGGGCATCCCTAGTACGATGGGCGTACGGGATCAGTACCCAAACCATATTTTCGTGGTTTGAGCCCTATTTAAGCTCCTTAACTTCCCCAAACTCATTCCATTCTCATCCCCCACATCTCCAACACCCTCTCTTGTAACCTTAACCCTAGATTGAGCCTTGTGAGCAAAAAGAAAGTGTTTTTAAGTGCTTTGGAGTGTTCTTGGTGCACCTTGGAGAAAAAGGAACTCATTGAAGAAGTGTTGGTTGCATTGAAGCTTGTAGATCCAGACTTTGTTCACCTTGATCTTTCTTCTAAATGTATAAAGTTTGAATCTTGATGATGAAATTGTTAGATCTAGCTAGTTTTGGGTGTTATGAGATTTTGGTCACTTTAAGTGCATAAAGTTTAGATCTTGAAAGTTTGTGACCTTGTTATGGATAAAGTTGGAAACTTTATCCATCTAAACATCATTTGGTTTCAGATTTG